TTCACATTCTGAGATTAAAATCGTTTTGGGGGTGCCTGGGGAGAAAGAAGAAAGAACACCTTTGTTCAGAGCTTGTGAGTTGCACCTAATCGATCATCTCAGGTCCTGACTCAGCAATGACCTCCTTACCACTGCTCTTCCTGCAATTGCTCTTCTCATTGGCCTGTTGCGTGGCTCCCATGCTTTAAGTCGTCTCTGGGCTTTTCACATACACTTTCAAACCTTCTGTCCTGAAAGCATCAGGTAATTAATGCTGCTAGCCGTGCGCAGTGAGCAGCCAGGGCACTTGAAATACGTGTGCATCTCAGGTCACTGTGCCTCCTCACTGAAAACCCAGATATAGGAAGAATCAAATTCCAGAAAGTTCTTGTTGATTTGGTGCCTGATGTTGATGCGCTGGTCGACTCAGGAGCCCTGAGTCTCTGCTGTACAGGATCCACCCTCCTGCCTGTCCTAGAAGCCACTGTATTTGTCACACTTGACAAGAGGGGAAGCCTGTTTCCCCTAACCTCCTACAAACTGGAAGGTGGTGCCCAGAGCACCTCAGGACTCGGTCTCACCAGGTCGTAGCAATGGGCAACAACAGCTCAGTGCTTGCCTGCCCACTTTACAGCTGTGGCCAAAGCCCTGCTCTCATCTGTGGACCTTTGCTCATGTACCCTAATGTTCCAAGAGACTGCGAGGCTGTAGCCCCAGGGCACTGTCTAGAGCCCTGGGCACTGGGAGGCCACCTTCACCTGCCCTTTCCAGAGCCCCCACGGAGGCCCTGTGACATGTATCTTGAGGTACCTCTTCGGTGATTTAGATGAGGGCTGTGCTGAGACGGACCACTTTTATCACACCCACAGCCACACTACAGCATCTGTACAGATGTGCACCAGGTGTATTAAAAGATCACAGAATTAGGAAGTTTGGGAACCACTGCTTTAGAGGGCGTAGACTGAAGACAGGAGTCTTAAGTGAGTCATAGAATATGATGCCAGGGTGGCTGCACCATCGGGAAACTGTGTGTGAGCGTGTGTAATGTGTATATGTGCATGTATATGTGTGTGTGTTCATGAGTATGTATGTACATGCATTCTCGTGTTCTCCACCCAGCCTTGGAATGGACTTTTAGGGGCACTGAGGGGCAATGCTCTGAACAGTTTCCTGAGTTGGGTGCAAACAAGGAGCAGAGTGACCCTGGACAGTCAAGGGCTTGCTCGGTGTGTCCCTGCCCAAGCCATGAAATTGGGGGGGGGGAGCTCTTCTCTAATGAAATGCTTGTTCTTCGTTTTTTATGAAAGACACATCATTAATGAGAGAGGATAGCTATCAAAATACTGACATACGCTCACACAGGGCTGAGCATATTTCACAATTAGGCTTTCCCCAATGGAGAGGAATAGAAAGAACGGAGTCACCATCTGCTTTGTCCCTATTGTGTACAAATAAGCAGCTCTTGCCTCTTTCTCCCTTCTCCTGGCCCAGGCAGCTCCCCAGCTCAGCAGCAGCTCTCTATCCTGCCCCAGTGTGGCATCCCTTCCCAACCTGTGCAGCAGCTGCTTCCTCAGCCCACACCTCTGCAGTCCATTCTGCCCTCCTGATGCCGCGTCCATCTTTCCTGGCCCCATTTAAAGGTCTCCCGAGGGCTTCTTTGCAGCTAGACTGCTCCGAGGACCTGGCTCTGACTCTCTGAAGCTGTGGCCATGTCCCGAGACTTGCCAGGTTATGATAGCTCTCCTATGATACCCCAGAAGTCCTCATAATCCTTGCCCCATCGATGTAACCTAGCCTTCCTGGGCTCTGTGATCTTGTGGAATGGTGTGGTACCAAGGGTGTGTTCACTGCAGCCCTTTGGTCTCACCCATTGGGTTATGGCATCTGTGTCACAGTGCCAGGGTACTTGTGGAATCTGAAATCTGTTCGTTTGTCCCTCCAAACCTACCATGGACCACAGGTCTCACAGCTGGAAGAACTATGGTGAAGCGTAAGCTCCACTTTGTTGTGAGGAAGGAAGTGGGCCACCCCTGCCACCTCAGTTTTCCTTGTCCTTAGAGCTGTGACCTGCAAGGCTGTGAAGAATGGTAAAGCTGCAACACTTTGAGAGGTTTTATTTCTCTCTTCTAATAAATTTCCCAACACAACTGAAGTGTGTGTGTGTGTGCGCACACGCACATGTATGTATTAAACAGATGATGGGATTGATCATCAAAATTCTTCCTCAAAGTGATATGGAAGTAGCAGAACTTTCTAGAGTATCAGTTTTCACCCTGCATGCTTTATTACACAGGCTTCAGAGCCCCATGCTAAATGGAAGCCATCTTTGAAGGGTCCATGTTCCAAGGTGAGCCATGGTTCTGGCTCTTTTCAGGGACAGCCATTGAATAGAGCCAGGAGCAGCTAAAGAAACTAATGTGGCCAAATTGAGCCTCACAAAAACAGCCACTTAGTACTCATGTGGGCAGTCTTGTGGGCCACCTCAAATGCTAGCCTCTTAATGTGGTGGACCAAGGGACTGTCTCTATCCAGCATGGAGACAAAGGACCAAGCTATAGCCAGTCAGGCAGCCCTCCCATCACACCATGCTCCTTGAAGAAAGGGCCAAACAACTAGGAATCAGACACAACATTTTTCTTTAATGTATGCAACAGTTTTGTACCTTTCTGGGAATGATACAGACATTAATTTTAAAGCTGATAAAAGTAGGGTTTTTCACAGCGAAGCTAATAGGGCCCTCACTGATGGCCACTGTGATGGCCACTTGTCTACGTGCCTCCTTTCTACATGGATTCCTGTACTGGTTTCTCAGTGTGTTCAGGAGAGCTACCTTTCTAGCCTTTGGCTGATATGTTGAATGAACCATAGGGAGCAAGAAGGTACTCCCTATTTCTCCAGGATCTCATACTTGGCTTGCCCCCGAGCCTGGCCAGACACTTCCAGAGCCCAGGCCTCTGGCCATATGCTAAACTAGTCAGCACGTATGCCAAGGTCAGAACCAGAGGCCAGGAGCCCTGGCAGTGCTATTTCTGAGTGGGGCACAGGCAATCCACACACACATAGCAGACCTGCAAGGACAGGCCAGCATCCTCACCTCACACTCAAGGGACTGAAGTGATTCTGGACATTAGACCAGGAAAAGCAACATGAGATCATGGCTGTGCCCTTCCTCTTGGCACTGATCTGTAGGAAGAGAGTTGCATTTACATTTATACATTTGTTACTCGGAGACAAACTTCCATTAGTTCTTACTCGAGACTTAGAGGTTTGTGGCACCAGCCTGGATCTTCCTTATGAATCCACATGAGATTCCAGCATGCCCCGCGGGTGCAAAAGCCCACATTTCAGGTTTCTGGAGCCATGGTTGTTCTTAACCAGTTTTAGAAGCCTGGAGTCACTGCCAAATGACCCCTCAAGATATAGTGGCTGCCCTGGCACCTGGGGTCAGAGAAGTGGACAAGGAAGCCCTGTCAAGGACAGCTGGGCATACTGTGTTTTCATTGGTTCATTCCTCATGGCACAGCCTTTGTACAAAGAGCCTGGGTGACACAGTTTCTTCTTTTGTACCCACACACATGAGAGAACATTGAGAGTTGCCTGTGTATTATTTGTATCTGCTATGTCCCTGTGGGAAATGTGATGTGTTTGGGGTCCTCATCCTTTGAGACTGATATTGCCTATGATGGCCTAATCATCCAGACTTCAAAATGGTTGCTGCTGTTTTTCCTAGTGGATCCCAAATCAGTAGATGGGAGGGGGAGCTACATTCATGATTTGACTTCTGCCTCTCCCTGGTGGCATTCCCATTGTGAACAGAAAGAAGGGACTTTCTGGACTTCCATAGTCTCCTATCTAGCTGCAGGGTGGGGTTTCCAGGCTTCTCTAAGTATTGGTAACAGGAGGAATGACTCTGTGGGTCACTCTGCTTTCTCTTGGTGACCAGTTTAATGATCCTTTCCCTAAAGTTTCCTAATATTGTGTAAGTGGTATAAATTGGCTAGAGTTATTTCTGGTTTTAGCACATCGGGACCAGATACCACTGCCTTCTGTCCCTTTTCTGTTTCATATAAAACTTTCCGGGATTGTTCTCTGTGGCCTACAGTAAGCTGGGTTTTAGGTGGATGTTTCAATTCTGAGGTCCTTGGACATGGACCTGGGGTGGGGATGGGGTCTCATTGTTTAGTTGCTTTCCTGTTGACATCCTCATTTTAATTTTGACATGTCACTGTCTTGTCACTAAGCCCAGAACCTTAATGAGTTACATTTGGAGGGACAAGGTCACTATACCTCCTCCTGGGATGAGCTGTGATGAGAGGACCAAAGGTTAGCTGGGCTACATCCTCTCACAAAGGCTCCCCTGGGACTCTTGGGATGCTACTGCCGCACTTCCTGCAGTCCCCTGAGCTGCTGCATGAACAGGGCCGTGCGGCATTCACCACTCGTGGCTCAGGCTCAGTTTCCTGTCCTGCATTGCCCCATTCACCCACGTGCAGGTTCCAGTCCTGGTTCTTTGCACAGTTCCCGTTGTCCTCTCTGTGTGAGCACAGAGAGGGTTGTGCCCTTTTAGTTATCAGTGTCATATCCATTTGTGGACTGTGAGCATAGAAAACCAGCAGTGCGCTTAGTGTATAATCTAATAACTGTCATTTTAAACTTGGTGCCTATGCAGACGTATATGCTAAATATTACAAGTGGAAGATATGTATACTAAATGATATAAGTAGATGATATAGTAAATATTATAAGCAGATACATCATACAGATTCCTCAGGATCTCCTCTGGGACACCTGTTGGGAAATGGACACCTTTATCAGGTTCCCTTGCCTCTATGGGGCTGTTCAGATATCATGCCCAAGGTCACCTCTGCCTGTACACAGCCTTCTCACATAGCCTTAGACTTGTCCATTTCAGAGACATTTGCTGCTCTGATGAATGGGGCAAAGAAAGGTGGCCAAAAGCCCAGTCCTGGGATCAAGGCCTTGGTGCTCAGAGCTCATACTCCCCTGTGTTTCTCTTTTAGGTAGGTGAGCTCCAGATAAGCCAGCCCTGCCAGTGACCTCCGTGTTTGGTGGCTGGTGCTCTGAGCCACAGTGTGCGTCAGCATTTGGATCTATGGACCTGCTTTGAACCATAGAGCCTGCCTATGGGGGAAGGTGAGTTGCCCCAAAGCCCCTTCTGTGTTTTTATTTATTCGTCTGGCATGGTGGAAACAAAGTCGGGCTCACCGTTAAGGAAGACACACGCTGGTAGTGCTACTCTTTGTTCTATCCTGCACCATTCTTCCAGAGCTGTGAGTCAGTTATGCTACCCACACAGGCTGGAACCCGTCTCCTGGAGTTGGCCTGAGCAACCAGGAATCATAAGGCCAACACAGGTTTAGGGAATGGAGAACAGAAGCTGTGCTAGGCTAGTGATGGCCAGTATGGTACTGATGGCCCGCATGGATACTGATGGCCCGCATGGATACTGATGGGCACCATGGGTACTGATGGCCACCATGGGTACTGATGGCCACCATGGGTACTGATGGTCACCATGGGTACTGATGGCCACCATGGGGTTTTAGTCCTATTTTCTGCTTTCTGATACTATGCTAGAAGGAATTGTTTATTTTGGATTGTTCATTAGCATTTATGATGCTTTCTTATGATACGGCTAGTGCTTTCTAGTTGGGCACATTGGCACTAAAGAGATTTTTGCCTCTCATTGCAACTTTGGATGCTGTGAGTTCTGGAAAGCAAAGAGCAGTGGGAGACGCAAGGGCCCAAGGTTACTTTCTCTATTCCTTCAGTGCCTCCTCCCCAGGCTCACTGCAGCTTGAACCTGCACGTTGAATTGAAGCCTGATGAGAGCTCCCAGGAAAGGATGAGAAAGGACCCACACTGCAGTTAAGGCTTCAGTGCACAAACAGTGAGGTCAAGGATGCACCTAGGCCCTGTATGCAGGTGCTAGAGGGGCCACAGAGCAACTGACTGGAGGGTTAGTTAGTACTTGGGGAATCACTCTGCTCGCCACCCCCTCTGTTCTTCAGTCCTGGCATGCACCCCTACTCTGGACCTTATCAGTCCCCCAGGGAACTTCATGGATCGTCCCTTGCTGGGCCAGGCAGAGCTGGGCAACAGAGCTGCGAATTGTCGAGGTGGGAGAGGGTTTGCAGAGAATGAATTATGCTGGGCAGGACCCCAGGTATGGCTGTGCGTCAGAAGAAACAATACCATCTCGTCCTGTGTCATGTGACTTTTCTGAAGAGTTATTTCTATTCATCCCAGATAGAGATGACAATGACGGACCAAAGGAATGATTCGATCTGATTGTACCTTGGTGAACTAATGAGGTTATTGGAATCGGTGACAGCAGCATAGATAAGAGGTTACTTACAGGTGCAAGGGGAAATTATGGGTAGGCAGCTATATACCACTAAAGGCTTCTTATACCTCCAAACCTACCCCAGCAATTACTGGGTAGAATACTGTTGGGGGGGACCTGGTGAGCTTTCCACTTCTTCTGGGGTGGGGGTTAAAGGGACTGACTTGTGGATCTTGTAAAGGTTCCATAGAGGTAATTATACTCTATTTCAAGATGTTAAGGGCCATGCTGTGCCTGGAGGTCAGAGTCCTACCACACGCCCTCTGCTGGGTCCTGTGCTGAATAGACTTCCTGCTGCTGTGTGCTCTAGGATGAGATGGAGAGCTCCTCTCCCACCTCTACCCGGAGGAGACTGATCCTCAAAGGTTCAGTCACCAGAGAGGGTCTGGAACAGTCTGTCTCAGATCTAGAACAGTTGGTGTAACTAACAAACTCCTGAAGGCCCCATTTCTACAGCCAAGTTCCTGCACTGCCCAGAGCACACCTCTAGGAAATGCTGTGCCCTGTGTGATGGTTCATGGTCCTTCCCAGACACACATTCCCTGAATGAGAGGCCATGCAGGCTCATGGAGCAGCAAGTTCAAATGCTGAGATTGCAGGCATGCATACCTGACTAATTTATGTATTTTTGACTCAGAAATTATATGCTGTAAATATACATGGTGGGGAGATCACAAGAGAAAGGGGGCATTCTCAGGACTAGATAAGTGACACCCCCATAAACCTATACAGTTCTAGAGGCTGGAAGCTCAAGACCAACAGGGCCAGAAAGTCTACTGGTGTCTGGTGGGGATACTTCCGTGTGGAAACTCCTGAAACACTGCCTCCTTTGGAGACGCAGATATGTGTTTTCATGTGACAGGAGGACCACCGACAAAGAGGGCAAGACTAGTCTCCCTGAGCCTCTTGTGAGACACTAGTTAGAAGGTGGAGGTCACAGCCTTGTCACCTTTTTTTTTTTTTTTTTTAAAGTAGGTTCTCACTATATAGTCCTAGCTGGCCCAGAACTTGCTGTAGACCAGGCTATCCTTAAACTCACAGAGTTTTGACTGTCTCTACCTCTTGAGTACTGGAGGTTTACACTGCCACACCTAGTATATTTTCAACATGCAGATTTGAGGGAAACATATGCCTCAAACCTTAGCAATTTTATTACAACATTGCTCAATATACCAATTCAAAATATCTGGCACACTCAACTATTGTGGACTCCTTATGGTCCCACACACTAAAACAAAAACAGGGTACCTGAAATCACATTTATAAAGTAAAGTATCAGGAATTTGGTACTTTTGCCTAAACCTAAATGCATTAACAGAGGAAAGTATTTACCATATAATACTAAATGCAAGAAAGAGGAAAATGTGGGCAGTTTGGTCCTGTTTTGTTTAAAAGATACAGTGATGGAACCTAGGCAATACGCCTCCAACATTGCAGATCCCAGGCTGGTGGTGTTTCTGGGGAGCACTTAATATGTTATTTCTCTATACTGGATATCCATTGCTTATATTATTTTCTTGGTGAGGCTTTGGGACCCTCTTTCTTTTCTGTGCTGTGGTGAGCATTGCAGAGTTAGTAGCAATGTCTATGCTCACAGTAACTGACTCCTTCCACGGTACAGTCTGCCTTCTGGTACAGCCCATAGCTCCTCCTGGCCTTTTCCTTCTCATATATGCTTGCTTGTGTCTCGGTCATTACCTCCCCTGATCTTGTATAAGTAGCTGGATAAAGTCAGTGTATCAGTATCAAGCAGCATGGGATAGCTGCTCTCTCCTGCTGGTAGCAGAAATGCTCAGCCTGATGGTGGCCAATGTGCATGCTACCCCTCCATTTAGGTCTCAAGTACTTGAGCCTTGTGCACATCACAGCCCACACCTGGACCACCTTAAATGATGCAGCATGCTCAGCCCCTTCTGAGTGTGTGCAAAGGCTTGCTTCTCAGGGCTGACTACAATTAATTAAAAATGTCGAAGGCAAGCATTTCCAGTCTGTCATTTTGGGTATCTAACCTTTGTGAGGACTTTCCTGTTTACCTGGTTCCTCGAGAACTTGCAAGTGGGTCACCAGTCAATCCAAGGCAGCCGCATAGTCAATGGCTAGAGACCTGTCTCTGCCCAAGCTGTACATGGACGGTCAGCACGATGACAATGTCTGATACAAAAAGCTGTGTCTGGATTAATGCTATCCAGCCCCCCTCCCCATTTCAGGCTAAGCTGCTATGTCCTGCAGGCACACTGGCTTGTTCAGTCCTATTGGGGGCAGGAGCCATTGAAATGACAGCCATGAGTGCTGGGTGCCCCTCCAAAGGGCACAAGGGGAGCTGGGCGAAAAGTAGGTCACATGTGCCTGGGCAATGTCACGCGGTTCCCACCCCAGGCCAATGGGATGGGTGGCCTCTTTCGGTTGAGAACAAAACATCACTCTAATTTTTCTCTTAGCATTTCATCTTCTCTAAACGGGGAGAGTAACCATCTGTCTGGCTCCCACACCCAACTCGATCCTCTTGACCCCACGGGGCTGCTTTGTTCGGAGGTAAGGGGATTCTGTGGGCCTGGGTGAGTGGTCAGCTGAGCAGGACAGGTGGCCGAGACTGACAGAATCCTAGCTCAGATCTCCAGGTGGTGTGGCAGAGCCTGCCAAGGTCATATATGTGATGTGTTGGGAGAAGATGCCGAAGGAACTGCCATGATGGTGCACAGACCTCTGCTGGGCAGTGGGAAGAGCGGAGCTGGGTTGTGTGTACTAGTGGCTTTAGATATTTCGATAGTGCGTCCTCCGCTTTCATAATGCAGTTCTTTGGGGGAGGACCCATGGCATTTTAATGTTCTTTACTATTGAGGTGGTGTTATTTGCTAAAAAGAAAGCATACAATTTTACGGATGTTTTGTAGGCTAGAAATACCAGCTATGGAAAGGAATATGGTCTCTACCCTTGACCATATGAACCATCCTTAGGAACCAAGGTCCAGTGCTGTCTGGATCAACTAGTTCCTTCAGTGCTGTTAGAGACTTAAACCTCTGAAGTTATTTGGAAAGTTATTTGTTTCCACGGGTAAGAGTACTATGAAGCTCAAACTCAGAACCCAAATAGCAAAAGATCTGTGCACACATATTATTAATAAATGGAAAAGTATACTTTGGAGTTTAATATTTACATTGAACAATTTGCTAGTTCTCTTATTGCCAGGCAGGACATTGAACATGACCACCACCACCACATGGTAAAGTGTTTGTGAATGTATAGTAGTTTTTAAATATTTATAGAAACAAACATACATTTTATAGCTTATAAATAACAAAATTTCACATTTTTCCTGTCCTGTAAATGAGCTCAAGTGTGCAGTTTCTCAGGATGTTCCAATGTACGCATTTGGCAAACAAGTTGCATGTTTAACAAGCATATATGTGTTTGCAGGATCTAGCTATATCTCCCATATTCAGACATGGGGAAATGCTTCCAGAAATAATGTACCAGAACAAGAATTGTAGCAATTTAACCTGAGTGTGTTCCACCAGAATTTTTTTCCTTTCAGATGAAATTTGTGTTTATTCTAGTTCTCTGGGGAACATGGGTGTGTGACCAACATTGTAAGGATGAGCACCAGAACTTTGGGTTATGCCCTGGGGTCCATCTCTGTTGTGTGGCACAGTAGCTATTCCCTTGGTGACAAAGCAGGGCTCACAAAGACTCCTTGTACAATCAACCTACAGCCTTAGAGTGAATCTTATATGTTTTCTAAAGAGTATTTCTTTAAATGGCTACAATCTTGAGGGAGTGGAGAGTTTCA